CAGGACTCTTAACTGCTGAGCTAGCTCTCTAAGCCCAGCAGCAGTGTTTGTTACAGGAGGGATCTCTGGGGGGGCCTTGTCCGTTATCACTATCTCCTACCCACAGGGAGATCTGACATCTCATCGGTCTGGCAGGTCATATGACCTGGACCAATTCCTGACTGAAGATGATGGAATTGGAATGGCTGGCTAGATCCTTTAGCCTAATCATCCTGGGACTTCAGTTGGACACTTTTCTATGGAAAAAAATGCTGGCTGTTTGGGGAGGGAGAGAGAGGAAGAGCTATAGGGAGAGACTTTGGCAGTGTCTGCCACAAAGTTCCTCAATACAGGGCAATACAGGGGCTCTGATTGATCTATACAGACCCTGCTTTAAGCTACCATCAAGCTCACAGTCCATAAAATGCTCATGTGTCCAGGGAGTCTTAGACACAGAGTTGAAAGTGGCACAAAAATATGCCAGGTGTCAACTTCTTTTATATTGCTTCCTATTTCGATTATAAAAACATACCTACATTACCTGGAGAATGTAAAGATTTCTGGAAAAGAAAACAATTAACACCCACCATTCCAGAAGGCCCAGGGCCACGTCAACATGCTGGAACACTTTCCTATCACCTTTTCTGGCCAACCATCTGGCTTCTGGCTGGAAGAATCGTTTACTAGGTGTCGCCCGAGTTCTCTTAGGGTCCTCACTCCTGGCGCTATTAGACAAACCATACAACACATCTTTATCTGAATTTTTCATAGTTTATATCCTGGGTAGGAGAAATAGACTAACTTAAAAGTCGAACACCTGGTGCCCCGGTCCACTCTGTAGCTCAGTGGCCCACCATTCCAGATTACTTCCACGCCCCTCCCACAGTCTCCATTAGCTTTTGTCCACGCCTCGTGGGCCTGCGGTCTCGCCCCAGGTCGGTAAATGCCCCCTCTCACCTCCATGCCTGTGAGACACTGGGGCCATTTTTTCCACACCACCTGCTTCCAAATTTGCACCAATGCTCTTCCCTCTGCTGCTAACTCCCCACAGCTCCCTCTCTGTAGCTAACTCTCCACAGCCAATTCTCTGCAGCAGTCCCCACCCCTTGGAGGAACAAGTGTCCCTAGGGACACACCAGGGTTGGTTTCACTGACCTGGAGAATACTGCCCGACCACAGACCGGTGCCTGCAGCTTGGAGCTTGCAACCTTGTGCTTTTCTGTTTGGGGCTCGTGTTGGAATGAGAATTTGTGTTCTTTCTCCATTCTGTGTTTTCCTTTTCCATTTTTTTCTGTGTATGTTGTGTGGGGGGTATATGCATGCTTTTGCATGTGTGTGAGCGTACATGTGCACCTGCATGTGAAGGCCTGAGGTTGACGTTGGGAATCATCCCCGATTGCACTTCTGCCTTAGTCATTGAGGCAGGGTCTCTCAGTCAAACCCAGAGCTCACTGATATGGCTGGTCTTGCTAACCAGCTGACTCTGGGCATCCCCTGTGGCCACCTTCTGAGGATGAAATTACAGGTGGGCTGTCACACCCACCCAGCATTTATGTGATTCAGGGATTCAAACTCTTGTAATCATGTTTGCACAGCAAGAGCTTTAGACACTGATCCATCTTCCCAGGCCTAGGATCTGTTTTTATTAAGCTCCCAAGTGAATTGTGAAGAGGCCCAGTTATGATTCTTCCCAGCTCCCGTCTTCATAGTTTTCAGCTGCATATTGTGGCCCTCCCTTCCAAGGGTCCGGTCCTTTCTCTATAATTTCTCTATTTTATTTTAAATTATGTGTATGTGCACAGACTTCAGGTACCGGAGGAGGACGGAGGTGTTGGTCCCCAGAAGCTGGCAATTGTGAGCCGCCCGATGTGGGTGCTGGGAATCAAACTCAGGTCTTCTGCAAGAGCAGTAGGCACGCTTAACCACCGAGCCATCTCTCCAGCCCGGATGGCCGTCTTTTTTGAGGTACTCCTCAGGACCCCCAAAATGAAATTCGTGTGTACGATAAACCTCAAATTTAGGTCAGAACATCTGAAATCTATCCTTTATGTATGATGAAAGCCACCTGCCTTTCCATTGATTTGAAATGTAATTAGCTGCCATTTTTTGGACTTAGGATCACATCACGTAGCTGCGGACGCTGGTGTTTTCACTCCATGCTTTTTGGCTTTTGTTTGCCACCATTTAAAATGGTTCCTGGAGCCAGGAATGATGGCTCATGCCTGTAATCCCAGCACCTGGAAAACAGAGCAGAATTACTGCGAGTTGCAAGCTAGCCTGGGCTGCAGAGTAAGGCCTTGTCTCTAAAATAACAAAAACAATACAAAATAAGAAATATTAAAAAGAAAATCAAAGCATTCGAGTTCAAGTGATCATTTTCAAAGGCCGCATCACTTTTCATTTTGGAGGACACATACCTTAGTAGCACATCCATAATTAGAGATTGAGGTTTTCCCAAGTTTTTGTCACAATTACTGTTTTTGAAAGATCTAAGAACACAGATTTTTGCTTCCATTTCTGTATCCTCCTCATTTTGCAGATGAGAAATTGGTTGGAGCCAGGGAGAAGTTAGGGTCATGTGCTCAGAGAGAGGATGGGACTGCCACAGGGAACACTGGATTCTTGCCTAACATGCCTATCCTGCTTCCAGGTTCTAGAAACCACTCTGTGGAAGAACTGGTTTAATCACTGCTACTGGACTGTTGAGGGAAGTGTGTCCTGGAGAGGGGAAGCCACTTGTCCGAGGTCACTTTCCTCCAGGGTCATGATTCCCTTTCCATCTTGCTCTTCTGGAAAGCAAACAGACACCTCAGAGAGGCAGGAGGGAGAAGTCCCAGCCCAGACACTGCTGGTGGGCATGGGTGAGCCAGGCCCTTGATCTGTCTGTGTTTGGAACTGGCTGATGTGTGCAGCTGTACTTAGCATCCCCTATGAACCTGCCTTGTGGGATGAATTTCAGGCCCAGGGCTCCACAGAGCCTGCTCTAGTTCTTTTGGACCCAGCTCCTCAGGTTCCCCTCAGAATTAACACTCTGAGCCTCAAACATTGGGTGTGGCTCTATTCATTTCCCGAGGCTGTCTTCCTCAGTAGCGCCCAGTAGTACTTTAAGGATGGTTTACAGGTTATGTCCAACCTTTTGACATGGTAACATGGCATTATCATCTACAAAGTTCATACTGGAGAATCATGCAATCAAGGTAAAAACAAAAAAACAAAAAAAACAAACCTTGTAAGTTTATGATTCCATTTCAGAGCAAACATTGGGTGTGGCTCTATTCATTTCCCGAGGCTGTCTTCCTCAGTAGCACCCAGCAGTACTTTAAGGATGGTTTACAGGTTATGTCTAACCTTTTGACATGGTAACATGGCATTATCTATCATCTACAAAGTTCACACTGGAGAATCATGCAATCAAGGTAAAAACAAAAAACAAAAAAACAAACCTTGTAAGTTTATGATTCCATTTCACATTGGAGGGTAAGTTACTGGTTACCTACTAAGAAGCAGCAGTCAAGCAAGAGAGGCCTAGTGTATGTCATAGCTTGTGCTGGAGATGATGATGGAGGGGAGATGGGTTTCTATCACAGGAAGGAGGACAAATTATTCCTCGGGCTTCAGTAACGAGATGGATGGGGGTTAGGGAAAAATCAACACTGATCCTGAAATTCAGGGCCTGTCAACACGTCCTGCCGGCATGCCTCTACTGCATTGCTGGCACGGAGGCGGGGCTCCTGGGCAGTAGTTGCAGCAGGTGTGCTCCTGGCCTCAGTTATGAGCTCCAGCTTATCTGGCTGTCTGAGGTTCATGGATCCCTTGTCTCTCTCTCAGGCGGCTCTGTCGGAAAGTTCCCGCCTGAAAGAGCAAATGGCGATGCTGCAGCTGAAGACCGATCTGCTGGGCAGCGTCTTCGGCCAGGAGAAAGCTGCCACTCTCCTGGAGCAGGTGGCGAGCTCTGTGAGGGACAGAGACCTGCTGCACAACAGCCTTCTACAGAGAAAGAGCAAACTGCAGGTGAATATTGGTAGCCGGGCCCTGGAGCCTGGCCGTGGGACTGGTGGAACCCTTCTGGGTATTGTGGTCTCCACTTGCCCCTGTGGCTCTGGGTTTATGCCTTTGTCTCCCACAATGTCAGGCTCCACATGTATATATAGGGTAGGATTCTTGCACGACCCCCTACCCCCGCAACTGTCTCCCTAGCAACCCAACCATCCCCAAACTCTCTCTACATTGCAGTTAAGACACACTGCCTTCTGCCAAGCTCATGGACAACAAATAGAGGGCATGGCTCAGTGAGTAAAGGTGCTTGCTGCATAGACGACCGATGACCTGGGTCTGATCCCTGGGACCCACATGGAAGAGATCCAGTTGCTGCAGGCTGTCCTGTAAACTCCATTCCTGTGCCATGGTGTATATGCTCATGTGCACATGCACACATCAAATACATAAATGTAATAGAGAGCATAGATACAGACACTTGCAAACACCATGATGCTGGGAGTGAGTGTTATTAGCATTAATATGCTTCAGAGTCCACTAAATCAAGACACTGGCTTGGCATGAGCCTTTTCTACACACTCAATGTTTGCTGGGCATCTAGTAGCAGTGATGATAATAGCTCTGGTCTATAGGGCATTGGCTATGAGCCAGGGACATGCAAATCTTCATCCTGGTGGTGGGGTCAGGGCTTAGGCTGCACCACCTGGCTCCACACCAGCAATCCCCCTGCCTCAGCAGGACCAGGCAGAGTCAGGAGCCAGGGGAACCCAGAAAGAAAGCCAGGTCTTCACTCACAAAGCTATAACCGCTGGTGGAGATAAGTACACACAGGTAGTTAGCAGATGTCCACAGAGCTGTGTGACAAAGGTCTGCAGACTGCTGCTGTGGAGGCCCAGGCAGTGAGATGTGAGTGTCTATAGGACAGGTGGAGGAGAATCAGAGGGAAATAAATAGGTATAGCTATGTTCCAATAAAGCTTTATTTATACAAACGCATTTCTGGTAAGATTTGGTGGGAGGCCCTGTTCTAGAGAACCATAGGCAAAGTATTATGAGAGGATACCATGGTGATCCAAAGTAGAGGCCCAGACCCCACCAGGGCTCAGGGAGGGCTTCCTGGAGGAGGTGGCAGTGGAGGAAGCATAGCAACAGCTTGGCCCAGTGCTGGGTCTTCCAGGGTGCCACGAGGAAAGCTCTTCACTTGCTGTTCTGTTCACAGAGCTTGCTCGCTCAGCACAAGGACTTTGGGATGGCTTTCGACCCCCTACAGAGGAAACTCCTAGACCTCCAAGCCAGGTCCCAAGCAGAGAAAGGACTTCAGCGGGACCTTCCTGGAAAGCAGGCCCAGCTCCTGAGGTCGCAGGTAAGGAATCCCTGGAGTCTTGTCACCTCCTGCAGGGTTCTGTTTGCACAGAAACAGCTCCCCCTTCTGGCAGCAAGCAGCAAGGCAGCAAGGCGGCACCCAGCTTGACCCAGAGGTTTAAAACCATCCTCACCATAGACCTGACTTCCTGTGTTGTTAGAATCTTTTGCTTGTTTATCTGGCAATTGCTGGCCTCAGGGGCCTTTGGCACCGTCAGATTGTTAAGTCTTGAGCCTAGTAGAGTGGTAAGCAGTCCTTCCATCTACCCTCCATTCCAAAGTCTGACAATGCTATTTGCTTTGAAAATTGCTTTATTAAGTTTATTAGCTATTTTTCTTGTTCCTGGGTCTGACAAAAGCAACTTCAGGAAGGAAGGGTTTGTTTGGCTCACAGTGCGAGGTGCAGTCCCTCTTGGTGGGGCAGCAGGGGCAGGAGGCAGTGGGTCACATCGCATCTGCAGTCAGGAAGCAGAGAGCGATGGATGCTGGTACTCAGCTCCCTTTCTTCTTTTTGTTGAGTCCAGGACCCCAGCCATGGGGTGCTGTTACCCACATTCTAACTGGGGGACCGTCCCTCCTGAGGTAAGTCTCTCTGGAAACACTGAGGTGTGTCGCCAAGGTGATTCTAAATCTACTCAGGTTGACAATCAAGATTGTCATATTAATTATTTCTAGTGCACCCAGAGGCCTTCAGTTGAATAAACCAATTTTGAGATTAGGAAGACGTGTTTTCTGTCATGGGTGGACTGTGTATAGGCAGACCACTAGTAATTGATGGCTGGCTTTTTTTTTTTAAAGAAAATTAAATTTTTTTTTGTGAATTTGATACAATATATTTTGATCATATTTAGATCCCCTTCTGTATCTGCCACCCCTTACTACTCCCTGCTCAATTTCATGTACTGTATTATATAAAGACCTATTTTGGGTCTTTTTGAGACAGGGTCTCCCTGTAGCCCCAGCTGGCCTGGAACTCACTATGTAGACCAGGCTGCCCTCAAACTCACAGAGACCCACCTGCCTCTGCCTCCTGAGTGCTGGGATTAAAGGCATGCACCATCATGCTTGGCTCTTGTTATTTTATTTTATGTATATGAATGTTTTGCCTGGATGTATGTAAGTGGACGACATGCATGCAGAAGAGGGCATCAGATCTCCTGGAGCTGGAGTTACAGACTGTTGTTAGCTGCCATGTGGGTGCTGGGAACCAAACTTGGATCCCCTCTGTAAGAGTAACCTCTTAACCACAGTTATTTCTCCAGCCCCATGGCTAGCTAGTGTTCATCATGCATGTGATACAATGAATGTTGTAAACCCAGACACAGCTCATGTGTAAACTGACAGCATTCACTGGAAGACATTACGCACAGTGTATTTGGGGCTTTAAAACGGAAATTTATATGATTCTTTATAACAACCAGTGGTCACCAAGTGGGAATCCAGATGTGTATTTGTTTCCCCAGATGTCATCTGGTCTTTCCTCAAGTTTGTTTTCACAGTGCCCCAGGATATTTGTGTCTGATTTTAAAAATTTCATCTGCCCTGAAAGGGATCCCATCAGACCACCCATGTGGTACAGCCACATGCTGGGAAGCCCCACGGTAGACTCTCCCACTCAGAGCTCCTGTTCCCACTGGGCCTCCAGGATGGAGGGCTGCTGGGATGGAGGGCTTCCAGGATGCAGGGGCTCCTGTTATGATGCGGCTTACCTGCTCTTCTCTCCATCACAGGGGCTGCAGGAAGAGGGACTGGATCTGGGGGCACAGATAGAGGCCATGAAGCCTCTTATCCGGGGGAACACCAACCACCAGCACAAAGTGGACCAACTTTCCTCTGACCACCAGGCCCTACAGAGGTCCCTAGAGGTAAGGAGTCAGTGAAGGGTCTGAGCAGTGAGGGCCAGGCCCTGGAGTCCTGCATACGTGGACCTTTTCTCCTCCTGTCCATCCTCCACTCCTTCCAACCTTCCTTTTTCTTTTCCTTCTTCCTTCCCATCCTCATTCATCTAACTGACGATGATTGAACAGTTCCTCTGTCGGGTGCTGTTCAAACGCCAGTGGTCGAGACAACAGAAATAGAACAGATGAGAGCCCTGCGTGGACAGGGTGAGTGGATAGTGAATCAGCAAGTACTCCCAGGTTTCCACACTGTAATGCAGGCCACAGGTGAATGACAAAATGGGCTTCCTGGTCCCAACTGAGGGTGTGTCCCCCAGCCTGGTGGCCTCAGAGACTCAACTGCAGTGCTCTCTAGTGGCCACCTGAGCAATTTCTGGTGCACCGAATTGATTCCACTTTATATAATGGGATATTAGGAATCCCAGGCTCTTCCACAGTTGACTGAAACAATTAGAAACACAGACTTCAGGCCCCATACACATCCTGATTCAGATAGAGGTATGCATCTGCCTTTGAATCAAGCCCTGAGGAGTCCCAAGCAGCTAGCTACACCTTGGAAAAATTCTGTTCAAGGCCAGTTTCTCTAGCACAGCAGCCACCTCCCACCACACTCTTTTTTTTTTTAAGTATTTTATTTATTTATTTTTTTAATTTTATGGTACTCCCTGCATATGTGTAAGTGCACCCGTGTTGTACAATGCCCATGGAGGACGTATTTTATTTATTTATTATTTTTATTTTATGTGTATGAGTGTATTGCCTGCATGTAAGTGAGCGCACCCATGTTGTGCAATGCCGCGGAGGTCAGAAGAGGGCTTCGGATTCCCCTGGAACTGGAGCTAAGGACGGTTCGTAGCCACCATGTCGGTGCTGGGAATCGAACCCGGGTCCTCTGCAAGAGCAGTCAGTGCTCTTAACCACTCAATCATCTCTCCAGCCCACACACTCTGTTTTTATAGCAAACATTTCTAGTACCTTCTTTACCACCCTGAAGCTGATAGGTGATACAAATCACAAGTGTCTAGACTAGAAAGACTTTCAATCGAGTCAGTTCTTCAATGAGTAAGTGCTCCCAGATGGCTAAGCTCAGGTCATAAGGAGGGCGTCGGGAAATACTTCACCCCTAGTGTCACATCAAGCTGCATGGCCAGCAGTACTTCTAGGGAAGACATGACATCTTGATCAAACTGAAGCACAGTCCTTTGTATGTACGGTGGGTGTGTTCCTGAATAAGCCCGTGTCCTTCTTAGATCTTCAAACACCTCCTTACCTGTTGAGTTAGAACCCAAGCCCAGGCCATGATAAGTAGGGCTTTTAATCACTGTGGTTATTCGGAGGATGTGAGATAGTTGAGTTCTGCATCTCCCTCCCTAGTGGAGTGGGAGCATCTGTCACCCTCACAGTGTCGGCTTCTTTCAGCCCCTGCACCAGTCTCTCAGCACCAAATGCTTTCCCGAAGAGTCCCCAGGAAACACCTAGGACCTAAAGACGCCTGTCAGTCTTAAGTGATATCTTAAGCCTGGATGAATTCACTAATGCCTCTTAGTAAACTGGCAGCTTGTAGTGTCGAGGTTAAGGGACGAGGAGTAGAGAAATGGGAGACAGTTCCAGCTCGCTAGAAGCAGCAAGATTCAGCTCCAGAACCTACATCCAAATGATGAGCTCGGCCATCCATGAGAAGATGCATTTACCCAGTGACGTGAGGGGTTGCAAGATGGTGGCATTCTAGTTCCATCCTGTTTCTTTACAGTTTGTATACTTGTTTATTGAGAAACTGTTGCTCTGATTATTCTGACTTTTAGTGCTTAAGTATAGTGAGTTTTAATCTACCCTTCCCTCACAGCTAGGCCACCTTTGTGTCCTATATTAATACTTACTTATCTCATTGCCTGACAGAAAAATACCTGGCAAAAGCAACTTAACACAGGAAGGGTTTGTCTTGGCTCACCATTCAAGGGCGCAGTCCATTATGGTAGGAGGTCATGATGGCTGAATTTTGCAGCAGCTCATTATGGTGTGTCTATAGGAAGGAGAGAGAGAGAGAGAGAGAGAGAGAGAGAGAGAGAGAGACTGACTCAGTTTTTTCCTTTTTATACATCCTGGACCCTGGGCCATAGAAGGGGGCCACCTGCACTTAGGGTGGGTCTTCTTACCCCAGTTAATATAATCTAGATAATCCTTCCCGGACAGACTCAGAGACTTGTTTCCATGGTGATTCTAGATCCTATCAAGGTGATAATCAAGATTAACCATCACATGTCCCCAGGGAACGTGCACCCATGATAGAGGTACCCAGGCCTTGGAGGGTGATGGCTTGGAAGGTGGGGATCAAAGGAGTGGGCCTCAGAGGCTTGGGGCTTTTGAGAATGTTTCAGGCCCTCGTTTGATGTCGTGTTGAAGACATGCAGTATGTGGGATGCTCAGTCCCTCATTGGGTTTCCAGCCTCTGGCAGGGACCTGACATCTTCCAGTGTTTTCGGGATACAGGAAGGCGGGGCCTTTGGGATACAGGAAGCACAGAGCCATGAAGCCTTGGGAGGAACACAGCAGGAATGGGGACAGTGGGCTGGGGTCTGAGTGGTTTATGGTGGACTCAAGACAGGGCTCAGGATCCCAAGCAGGGACTTGAGGAGAATGATCACCCTTCTGAGGACAGTGCCCTTCTTTCCTGGAGACAGAGAAGAGTTAAGGACCCCAACTCAGATGTCTGGGCAACTGACAGGCCCAGGAAACAAGACCCAGGAGAGTCATTAAAAAAAAAAAAAGCAAGACTGGTTTGAAAACTTTTATGGAATCAAAATCATATGCAGAACAGAAAGACATGTTGCTACACCTCAGCAGATCATAAAGAACTAAACAGACCTGTGTCTGCAGTCTGCACACACAACCTAGGGGAACGATGGCCTTCTTTCCTCATGCTTCCCCAAGGCGCTGCCCACCACTTGCCCTTGAGCGTAGCCCTGACCCCAGAGTAGCGTTTGCTCCACTCCCACATGATAAACTTTTATGGAATCAAAATCATATGCAGAACAGAAAGACATGTTGCTACAGCTCAGCAGATCATAAAGAACTAAACAGACCTGTGTCTGCAGCCTGCACACACAACCTAGGGGAATGATGGCCTTCTTTCCTCATGCTTCCCCAAGGCGCTGCCCACCGCTTGCCCTTGAGCGTAGCCCTGACCCCAGAGTAGCATTTGCTCCACTCCCACATGACGCTTACAAATTCCTCCATCATCTACATGGAGCCATAGCCTGCTCATTTTTCTTTTTTAAAGAATACTCATTTGAGCCTGGCATGGTGGCGTGTGCCTTCTTTAATTCCAGCACTCCAGAGCCAGAAGCAGGTGCATCTCTGTGAGATTGAATCCAGCCTGATCTACATGGCAACTTCCAGCCCACCTGGGGCTAGAGGGAGATCCTGTCTCAAAAAACCAGCTCCTCTCCCCCAAAAAAGAGTATTTCATGCATTCGTTGACAATTTTGCATATGTATAGGGTGTATCTTGATCAAATCCACCCTGCTCCCCTCCCCCACTCCTCCTGAACCCCCTCAATATATCCCTCTTACCTTCATATCCTCTTTCTTTTTGAAAAATAACTCGCTGGGCCCAATTAGTGCTGCCCACATGGGCATGGGTGGGAGCCATCCATCAGGACATGGGTAGCCTATCAGTGGCCACACCCCCAAAGAAAAAGGACTCCCCATCCTCCAGCATCCTTCAACAGCTTATCAGGTAGGGTCCCATGAGCCCCTCTCCCATCCATGCTAAAATGTTGACTGAGTTGATTTTTCTACAGGTAACTGTAGTTGTGAGCTCATGAGTGCAGTGGCTGTGCCATCCAGAAGACAGTGTTTCACAGCACTTCTCCCCACCCTTCTGGCTCTTACATTCTCTCCACCCCCTCTTCTGTGATGTTACCTGAGTCTTGAGAGGTTGCTACCAATGTCTCGTGTAGGGCTGAGCTCACAGTCACTTGTTCTCAGCACTGACCAATTGTGAGTCTCTGCAGTAACTTCTTGGGCTGCTGGCTCTTGGATTACTTGTTCTTGAATTGCTCATTCTTGCTACTGTAGAATAGTATGTCGAGTGGATGTGCCACCATGTTTATCCAGTCTACTCTCCTTTTTGTATTGGGAACTCAATTCAGGACCTTACACATGCTAGGCAGTGATATACCACTGAACTATGTCCCTATCTCCTCATCTCCTCTATTCTTCTCTGTGGACACCTGGGTAGGTTCTGATTTGAAGCTAAGACTGGTGATAGCCTCTGGGTATCCTTTAAAGAAGGCACCCTGCTCTTCTGTGGGATGGAAGCCATGGCTGGGTCAGAAGGCACCCCTGTGCTCAGCCTTACCAGATTCACAGAGTGTCAGGATAGACCAGAGCCCCAGTTGCCCCACCCTCCCCTATACTTGGAAGCTTCTATAGAAGCAAAGGTATTTAAGGCAGAGTTGGTCAGTGCTATGTGATGTTCCTGTTGGGGGAAATTGAGGGTACAGGCAGGTCTAGGCATCTTGCAGATTTGGAGTGGCCCTGGGGGTCTCTGCCTCAAGGCCCCTGGCCCTCTGGGCTGTGCTGCAGGACCTCATGGACAGATGTCAGGAGAGCGTGCAGGAGCACTGCACCTTTAACCACCGGCTGCTGGAGCTGCAGCAGTGGGTCACCATGGCCATGCAGATGCTGGAGTCGCACCAGAGGGAGGTGCATCCACGGGATGCTGAGTCCCAAGAGGCTGGGGTTGAGGTAAGATGGTGTGATTCATTCTCTCATTCTCCCAAAGCATCCTAGACTGCCCTTGTACTGACGAGCAGAGCCCCGGACCTGCGACCTCACGTGTGTGTGTGTGTGTGTGTGTGTGTGTGTGTGTCCATGTGTCCCCCACAGAGGCTGCTGGCCGAAGTCCCAGAGAAGGAGGTCCAACTGTCCCTGCTCCAAGCACTGGGCCAGCTGGTGATGAAGAAGTCTTCTCCTGAGGGGGCGGCTGTGGTCCAGGAGGAGCTGAGGGAGCTGATGGAGTCTTGGCAGGCCCTGCAGCTGCGGGAGGAAAGCCTCCTGAGGTGAGAGCCTCCCTGACTTCTTGGACAATGCCTCCTGTCCTCACCACCTGGGGTCCCCAGAGCAGGTGACCAAGGCTGAACTGTGTGTCAGGCTTGGTGCCTGGGGGCATCTGCATCTTTGCCCATTTAGTGATGCTGGCAGGGTTCTGAGGATTTGGGAATTCCCGTAACCATGAGTTAACCTTCGGCCTATTCTGGCCCAAGCTTCAGTTTCCTCATCTGCATCCATGGGCATACGTACATTGGCGAAGTGGGTTTAAAATAAGAACTGGGCATGAACATGTCTGGAAGTCTTTTTGTGAACCCCAAAGATGGATGTCAAGTCCTTATCAGTATGAAGGTATGAAACCTGGACACTTCCGCCAACCTTGGTACCCAGGACTATTGCTTCTTCCTGTAACCTGGTGGGTAACTCATCGCATCACTGCCTTGACTGGGCCACCTTCTCTTCCTAGCCTCATTAGAGACCAGCAGCTGCAGAGGATGGAGGTGGACTCGGGGAAGAAACTGGTTTTCACTAACAACATCCCAAAGGAGGGCTTCCTCATCAACCCCCTTGACCCCCTCCCCAGGCGGCGGCGACATGATGTGAGTCTGCCTCATAGGCTTTGGGAGAAAGATCAGATCCAAGGTCAGGTAAAGAGGTGGAGGGGGGCCTCCAGCACAGCTCTTTTCCTATCCTCGACCACATGCTTATCTCACAGGACATGTCCACTTCCTTGTCCCCTCCCCCTGCTGTGACCCCAGGAACACAGGGCTGTGGAGGTTCCAAATCGCAGAGGTCCTAGGTTACAGGGGAAGTCATGGCCATCCTGGACAAGGCTGGTCCTCATCTCTCTGAACCCTTGCAGCAGCTCCAGGGGAGAGTCCAGGGATTAAAAAAACGTCTTGGTGACCCCATATAGAAGGCAGATCAAAGACAGGAGTCCTGACCTAGTAGTCTGGGTGGAGACTTGGATTCCACATTACTATGAAGTTCCTAGGACATGGCCTGCACTGCTGGGCTTTGGGAATGGGGTCTAGGCAGTTAAAAAAAGGTTTCCTGACCTAGTAGTCTGGGTGGAGACTTGGATTCCACATTACTATGAAGTTCCCAGGACATGGCCTGCGCTGCTGGGCTTTGGGAATGGGGTCTAGGCAGTTAAAAAAGGCATGGTGGGCCATGTGTAGTAGTGCACACTTAATCCTAGCACTTGAGAAGCAGAGGCAGGTGGATCTCTACGAGACTGAGGTCAGCCTGGTCTATATAGTGAGTCCTAGGCCACCTGGGACTACAGGGAGACCCTGTCTCAAAAACCAAAAATAAAAACAAGCAAATGGCATGGTGCATGCTGGATGCTGTAGAAGCTTGTGGTACAGTGGTTGGGACCCAGTTCTGGGGTAAGGATGTCCTTCTGGGGGCAATGAAATGTCAGCCAAACCCTCAGTTGACTGGGAGGGGACAGAAGCAGGGGAGTAAGGTATGTTTCCAGCAGAGGGAACAGTATGTGTGTAGACCCAGAGGAAGTGTGAGTTCAAGTTGTTGAGATGTAGCTGTGGGGATGGGGGTGGGGGGGGGAGGGAGCTCCATCCTCAGCAACCTGCAGAGCTGGAGCCTGAGGCTCTTGGGCCACATCAGGGAAGAGCAAGAAGTCACCAAGTATATAAGGAAGGATGTGGCTGGACAAGCTTGCATTTCAGACAGATCACTCTGTCCAAGTCCCCTGAAGGGGACAAGAGTGGAGGGAAAGTGACCACTAGATAGGCAACCATCCTGGTCAGGGATGATGGTAACTCCTGGGGATCCAGGGGGGTGATGGTGAGGCCCACTCTTGGACCCTAAATGTGATCATGTTTCTTATCCCCCTGGGCCTCTTCCATACCCTTTGGGTCCCCTGTCCTCATCCCCACTCTCAGGCTTTGGGGGATTCCCCAGGATCCATGGCCAGTAGGCCTCTAACCTCCAGTCACATGCTTTCCTCAGGCAAACCCACAAGAAGAAGTACACGGCCTCCATGAGGATTTCTCTCGGCTGCTGAGGGACTTTGAGCAGTGGCTGCAGGTGGAAAACTCTAAGCTAGTTAGAATCATTGCCATGAGAACAGCCACAGCCAAGGACTTGAGGATCAGAAAAACAAAGCTGCAGGTTTGTTCCAAGGAGTGATCCATAGTGGGGTCTGTACCCCCAGGAGTTCTTCATACACAGTCATTTGTGATCTGTTCTGCGTCTGAATAGTGGTTTTTAAAGTTTTTTAGTTCCAATAGTTTAGAACTTTTCCTTGCATCCATGCATGGATGCATGTATTCATCCATTCACCCATCTGTGCATGCATCCATCTGCGTATCTGTACATGTATCCATCTACCCATTTATCCATCTATGTATCCATCCATTCACCCATCTGTGCATCCATCCATCTATGTATCCATACATGTATCCATCCACCCATCTATGTATCCATCCAGTCATCCATGTATCCATCCATTCATGAATGTATGCATCCATGTATCCACCTATTCACCCATCTGTGCATCCATCTGTGCATGAATACATCCATCTATGTGTATCTGTACATGTATCCATCCATCCATCCATCCATGTATCCATCCATTAATCCATTTGTGTATCCATCCATCTATCCATCTATGTATCCATCCCTTCATCCATGCATCCATCCACGTATCTATCATCCATTTATCCACCCATCTATCCATCCTACTTTGTATTTCCCTGTTTGGGAACTATCGTCTGATTCCTTGACTTCTGGACCATTAGCTATCACTGTTTCACCAATTTTCTTGACAACAAGCTGCTTAAAACAATAGCTATTTATCTCATGATTCTGCCATTTGGAAGTTTGGGTTGACCTCAGCCTGGCTTCTTCCATTTCTGGGGTCTAAGACACATCTTCTGGGCAACCTTATCTGGTGTCAGTTGTAGGGCAGCTGGTGGCTCCGCTTTGGGAGGCTGGAAGCTGGTAGAGATGAACATGGCATGGGCCATGCATGTCTCATCCTCCTATAGGACAGCCTAGATCGCCCAAGGCGAAGGCAGTGTGAGGGAGTGTGTGAGAACAGTCAAGGCCCTTAGAGACAGACTAGGAACTGGCATCCCAGCATTATCTGGATTCCTCTGCATTCTGCTGTACAAAGAAAGTCACCAGGTCTGTCATGGTTCAAGGGAAAGAAAACAAACTCCACCATTTTATGGGAAACAAAAATCCATTTACAAAGGCCAAGGGTATGACCTGGGGGAGGGGTGTGGGGAGCCATGTATTTGCATTCAATCCACCCCTTCTCTCTCCTTCACTCCCATATCTGGTTAGTTACTGTCTTAGTATGTTTATGTTACTGGAACAGAATACCTGAGACTAGGTAATTTATAACAAACAAGAATTTCAAGGTTCTGAAGGCTGGGAAGTCCAAGATCAAGATGGGCTTCCTTCCTATGTTGTCACATGACCAAAGACAGAAGAGGCATGAAGAGGCAAAGGGGGTCCAAACTTGGTTTTTTATGTCAGCATTAGCCTGACCCTTGTGGGCTGTTCATCCTACCTGTGCACTAGGCCGCCTCTCAGAGGTCCCATTTCTCAATACTGTAAATGGTGATTAAATTTCAACACGAGCTTGAAAGGAACAAGCATTCAACTGTAGCAGGCACCAAGCCCACCTTGCTGTTTCTGTCCCTGATGCACTTGCTGTTAGTCACCTGACTATGACAGGAGCCTCCTCCCTGGTCTCCTTCCTTTTGAACCCTTACCCAGGTCGTGATTCCTGCTGCAGGCAGCCATGACCCTATAGAACCACCAATCTGACCTTGACCTTCTGATGAAACATTTCAGTATGGAATTCAAAGCCAATTCATCATACCAGACCTTCCCCAGCAGGCCCCAGTCTGCCTCTCTTTTATTTCTATGAAACCTCACCAATATGTTGGGTCTAAATTTCTTTTTAGCTACTCTGTTTGACAGTCATTTGAATTCTTGCATCTATGATTTAGGGTCTTTCTGGAAAATTCTCTGACATCATTTAAAATATTATCTTTCCATAATATTTTTTCCTTTCCTTCTCAAATGTCATTTAATTTCATATTTGGGCTTTTTGTCTCAAAATGTTGCATTCTGAATATTTTTTCTGACCCATCTTCCAGTGCACTAATTCTCTTTTTGGCTGCGTCCCATTTGTGTACATGTCTATTAAGTTCTTAACTTCTGTTACTTTAATGATCAGTTCTAGAACTCCCATTTGGTTCTTTTTAGTTATATTCCCCTTCTTCTCTCAGACCTTGATGAAGTGCTCGAGCTCATCTTTTAATCCTTTGAGCACACCAAACATAACTGCTTTACAGTGTCTGCCTAGTAATCCCAATATCTCCAGGCATTTTAGGACTGTTTCTGTTGTGTATTTACGTTTCTCATGTTTGGTGTTGAGCATCATTATATAATTGCTTTGTGCACTAGACATTATGCCTGACAAAATAATGTTAGATTTATTTTTAACTAATGCCAAGAAGTGCAGGCTTTATGATTCAGGGGTAATAAATCCAAGTGCAAAGTTTGTGGTTCCCAGGACTACTAAGATGACTTGGAGCTGGGCTGTAAGTGCACTCAAGGCTCAGATTTACTTCTGGTTCTTTTTATCTGGGAATGAAGTCTGGGGGTATCTCATCTACAAAGGGAGTGGCCTGTCAGTGCCCACCTCGGCAGAGCCCAGGCATTGACCTTCAGCACCTTACCTCTGGGAGGTGGCAGAAGCCCAGATAGGTTTCACAGATGTTTTTATTCTAGAGTGGCAAGTGTCTTAAAAAGGGTTCTGCTGTAGGTTGTGTTATATTGTTTGCAGTGCTGGGGATTGAAGGTCCTCACACATGCTAGGCAAGCACTCCAACCACAGAGCTGTGCCTTTACCCCCTTTCCTGAGCTTTGACCTGATGGTCCTCCCTCTTTTGTTAACTCATTGATGACCTCGAAGTGTTCTTGTTGTGTTCTCAGTTAAGGGGACTTCACTTCATCCCAGTGGTGGAGCTGAGCATTACCAGCAAGCCTTCCCCACCTATCTCCCCTACCTCAGATTTGTCTCCCAGCCCCGACCCTCACCCGTCTCCAGTCATATCAAATGATTTATAGTTCCTTTCTCTAAACCCCATTTGCTCTTGTCAAGACAGCATTCTAGCAGGTTCTGAGCAGTTCAGCCAAGTTCTAAGCTAGGATTGAATCCCGGCTCCCTGTCTGTAGACCCCTCACCACACCATCCCTCAGGATGCTTGGAATTAGGTCACCCTAGGAGAGCACAGTGCTCTACTGTAACAGAAAAGTCTGCCCAACCCAATGCCAACACCACTCTGCCAGGCTCAGAAATGCTAGCGAACACACTGTCCACAGCAATGGCTTTTTATATTATATTTTATTATTTTTATTTTATGTATGAGTGCATTGCCTACATGTGTGCAAGTGCACCTGTGTCATGCAGTGCCCATGGAGGACAGAAGAGGGCATTGGATTCCCTAGAACTGGAGTTATGGATGGTTGTTAGTTGCCATGTGGGTGCTGAGAATTGAACCCAGGTCCTCTTGTAAGAGCAGCCAGTGCTCTTAACCACTAAGCCATCTCTCCAGCCCCAGCAATGGTTTTTTAATGATGGCATTTGCTATGATACTTGTAACATAGGGACTCTCTCTCTTATAACCAGTGGTTCTCTCCTCTTAGCCGTTCCTGGGCCTGGCCTTAAACTTGCAGGGATGAAAGTATCATAGGATCTGTCCACTTCTCCCCAGGTGCCTATGTCAGGTGGCACTTGATTGGCTCATCCTTACCAGCCAGGTGGGGTTCGTGGGCCATTAGGAACCTGTGCCATGATGCTGCCTTCTCCCTCAGGAGCTGGAGGCTCGAATCCCAGAAGGCCAGCATCTCTTTGAGAACCTGCTTCATCTCAGGCCAGCCAGGGGCCTCTCCAATGACCTGGAAGATCTGCGCTACCGCTGGATGCTGTACAAGTCCAAGCTTAAGGACTCTGGGCACCTGCTGGTAGGTGCTGAGGGTGTACTTGGGAGTCCCTGAAGGTGACCATATCTGGGCCCAGGCTTACCTGGGAAGACAGAGCTGGCCTATGTGCATTCAGACCTACGCATATGTATTCAAGGTCAAAGCAACCACCTAGAGCAGGGTGTGGGGGGAGGGGGAGAAGCACTCATGGACCTTGGGCACTAGGCTTACGCAATGTCATTTGTCCCTCTCCCGTGAGACATGCATTTTCCATCTTGTCCTAGCCACCTTCTGTTAGAGTAGTTGCATCCCAGTCTCCAGAGGGGGAGCTGAGCCCCGACCCCTGCCGCCAGAAGCTGAGGGTCACACAGCTAGTCAGTGACAGAACCCAGCATTCAGTCACACCCCCGTGCTGTGGCTCTAGCACCACTAGTCCGAGACCTAGATCCTCTCCTCCTCTGAGTTGCTTCCTGACTTTGCTCTAGTACTTTCCTGGACTCTCAAGTCTCTTACACAAAACAATAGCTCTCCTAGTAATGATAGCCTTTATTAAATGCTGTGGTCTCCTAACAAGCCTGTAAAAGACAGAATTAGCATTCTCTCTGGGCTGAAGGGGAAACTGAGGCACAGAGATGAAGTTTCCTGGGCCCTAAACCTGCTCAGGTGGGTGTGATGTCCCCTGGGCCTCAGATTGCAGAAGTCACAAATATTGGAAGCTATAGACTTTCTGGCCCTGCAACTGTCCTGTTGGCCATTAGGTGTCAGCCCAGCCCAAGCCTGGTGGGCCTGGTTCCCAGCGCTGGCCAAGGTCTTCCAGACAAACCACCTGGGACTGAAGTGTGTTAAAAAGCTTATTAAATGGAATTCCCTGCTAGCTCAGGCTGTCCAGATGACCAGAAGTTTTAACGAAATGCTCCCCTGACAAAATGAATATTCCATTACAGGCTCCACTGGGATTTAAGTCTCACTCACCTCTATTTTTTTTACCCCCTTTCCTTTCCTTCCCTAAAATAACAGACGCAGAGTTCTCCGGGAGAGCTGACTGGATTCCAAAAGGTATGTGTCTGCCGTCTGCTCCACACAGCTAGAGGGCAGAGTCTGTGCGGGGCTGGAGGGCCTGTGATGTTGGGTCAGGACACTTGGGCTTTCTAGAATGTTCCATGAGGCCTGAGGAGTACTGAAGGAGACTCTGGGCTGCACTGAGCTGGGCCCAGAGGTATGTTATGTGCTCCCAGGAAGCTCCAGGCTCAGACGGTGATTGGCAAGGGCATGGCATTTATGTGAAGGAGAAGGGGCTCTGCTTTTGTCATGCAGACCCAGGACGTGCTGGTCAGCGGGACAGGATGCTGCTAGGATTACTGTGACAGCCAGTGGAAACCAGGTCCGTTCAAGGCAAACTGGATTGTGTGGCCACTTTGGTGACAGGGGAGTCCATGGGGCCCTGGGGGACACAGTAAGAAGGGGTGGTAGACCCTTTTGTTCTCCTAGGCAGGTGTTTCCACTTCTGCCCACTGGACCTGCTCAGACCATGCCAGTTCTATGTGCAGGATAAGGAACTACCACAGAAGCAGTAAAGCATACCAAAAGCAATAGTTCCTATGCTGGTGCTTCCTGGTGTCTGTACTTGCTGTGACTGTAACAAAATACCTGACAGAAACAGCTTCGGGAAGGAAGGGTTTGTTTTGGCTTATGATTTCAGAGGGGTCAGTTCATGGTCTTTTAGACTCATGTGCTTGGGCGGGAGGATGTCATATGTATTTCTAACCATCAGGAAGGAGAGAGAGAAAGAGAGTGGTGAATTGGTGGGACTAGGAACCTGGTATAACTTTCAACCAGCTAGGCCCCAACTCCCAAAGTTTCTACAACTTTCTAAAATAATGCCACCAGCTAGACACCAAGTAGTGAGAACCATGAGCCGGTGGCGGGGGCGGGCAGGGCGCAGGTCTGAGTCAGACCATAACAGTTGTGGTAGGGCATCTCATACCTTGCCACTGATGCCCAGGGAGCATTCTTAGCTCAGTTCTAAGCCTGAGAAAACAATCAATAAAAAGAGCTGCTGTGTCCACCAGGCACACAGCTCTCAACTGGCATCTGGCCTTGGACCTCAACAATCATGTTTTAGCCTTCCACAGGGTGCCTTGAGGCCTTCCTGGGCCTGGACACTCTCTCTGCTCCTGTGTATTATTGTCACGTGTGCAGCCCTTGTTTTTCTGCCAAGATTAGCCATAATGACATGAGCTCCCAGCATGCTCTGGCCCCAAGAACCTGGAGTTTCTTCAGATCTATCATTGCTCAGAGTCTGAGTCCCATATGTGGACACCCTGTATTCCTTCTTGGCCTCTGGCAGCTGCAAGAGAATTCGGGGGAGGGGGGCAGTTGGCGAGGGACTTGTGGACCAAGAAAGGCTTTTCATGGATCAAGGCTGTATTCTGGGCACTTTGCCAAGCGGCTCTGTGGCCTTGGGCAGGTTGCTTTGCCTCGGAGGCTCCCGCTCCCCATGTCTGAAACGGAAATATCAGTGCTGATTTTCTCCATGCGTTCATTTTGAAGATTGTGTGAACCCTGATATATAGATGTGGAAGTACATCCTGGCACTTCCGCCCTGGACTCCCCATGGTTTAGAATAACGTTAGCCTCCTTATGGACTAGTGTCAGGAAAGGGCAGGTGGCCCACTAGCCTGGCCTAGTGGCCCCTGGTGGGAGATGGAGGTCCAGGTCCTTGTGTTCAGTCTACCCATAGCTCCTGAATGTTAAGCACCTTCATGGTTGGGAGTTGCCATCCATGTAGTCCCAGACCAGACTCTACCAGCTGCATCCAACCTTTTGACACTTTGATACATTGTCATCTACAAAGTTACAATGATATTACCGAAAAAAAAAAATCTCAAAGATCTCACCATGTTTTTAAGTTTATGGTTTTGGGTATGTTACATTCCCAGCTATCCTGGGGTGTGTATGACTCATGGGCCACAGGTCAAACATCCCTGTCAGACAGACTCCAAGTAGTCTGGGTCCCTGGTACCTGACCACGATGCCAAATACATAGTCAACACTCACTAAATATTTCTGGGTAGGTGACACTTGGCCAGCTGACATCTGCCCAGTGCAGCTCAGCGTCCTTGCAGCCTGGAATTGGCATACCACTGTGGTATTTTCACATTCCCTACAGCCTGGAATTGACATACCACTGTGGTATTTTCACATTCACCCTGCTCAATAGCTGTCTCCTCTTCCAGACATTTGTTCCTTATTCAGTCAGTGCTGACTTTGTGCCAAGCACTGTTTAAGGCACTCAAAACCCAGCAGTCAACAAAAGAGTCACAGCTTGCCATCCTAGACTGCACCTGGCTGGGTGGAGGAGGAGGGAGCCTCTGTGGGGAGCTGGAGCTCAGCAGCATGGCAGGAATCTCTGGATTAGATGGCTCTGCCAGGCCCACAGCCTGATGTTCACAATAGTACTGCTTGGCCATAGCTAGCAGGTGCCTACCATAGTTCTGTGGGAGTATTAACATGAAAGTTCTAAGTGCTTATCTGGACTATGTTTTAAAGATTTAGGTGTAGAAAAGGCTGACTTTAATGTTATTTGTCTTCTAAGCTGCTGGGCCTGGGTCTCCTGTGGAGAAGGAAGTAACCCAGGGTGGGATGATAGAGGCCACTGACAGGACAGCTGTGAAACCAGATGGCTGGACCTAGCCTGATTGGCCTGGATGGCCCACGAATCTGTTTTCCTGGCCCATTTTTTCCCAGGTGATGCTCACGCTCCTAGCCCAGGGACCACGCTTTGAGAACTGATGACGTAGGTTCTGGATTCACACTGTATGTGTGACCTTTAGCAAGTCACTTCACCGTGGTCTTCCAATGAAGAAAATGAGACCACTGAGTTAAAGGCGGGCAAAGATCCCCCCTAACAATGGGTACCTAGTAGGCTCTCAGTTGCCATGTAATCAAGAGCCCAAGACTTCTATAGACACTACCCCTGCTTTTCTTTCTAAGAGCAGAGGGAGCTGTTACACAGAGGACATGTATGAATCAGCTTTCTTCACTGCTACAAAATGCTTGAGGTCATCAACTTATAAAGAGAGGAGAGTTGTATTTTAGCTCAGTTTTTGAGTCTTCCATCCTGTTCTGTTTGGCCTGTAGTGAGGTAGGAGCATGTGGTGGAGCAAAACTGTCCACCTCATGGCCAAGAAGCAAAAGAGGAGGAGGAGAAGGCCGGGGCCTGTCCCACAATTCCCTTCAGGGACATGCCCCGGTGACCTAAGGACCTTTCACTAAGCCCTGCTTCCTAAGGGTTCCACCACCTCCAAATCATACTAGCCTGGGACCAACTAGTCCTTTAACTCATGAGTCTCTGGGGGACATTCAAGACCCAAATTCACAATGTTTGTTTCTTTTGCAATTAGGTATGTGCATGTATGTGTGTAGCTCCATTCACACACATGCACGCACACATACACACATTCACACACACACACACACACACATGGACACATATGCACACACATGCACACCACCACACAAGCTTGACAGGTAGAAAATAAGTGCCTTCTATAGAGTCTAATCTCACCAGCCTAGAAGCATTCTATATATTATCTTTAAAGAAACCTGCCCTCAAGCTAAGTATTTATGAGCTGTTGGTTCTCCATGCTTTCTTCTCTCTCAGCCTCAAGTCATAGAGGCCCCAGCTATGTTCGTGGCTTCAGCCTGCTTGTTTGTATAAACAGAATAATTAAGATTTATTAAATTTGTGCTGCCTATGCATCTGCCAGCGTGGTGCCACTGGCTGTTTGCCTACACCCTCAGACACTCAAAGCATAATTGCTTTTTGAGTGGCAGTTGGGTTGTGAGTCACCTCAGTCCCTGCCCTGGGCCAGGATTGTGGTGTGGCTCTCTCTAGGCACACTCATTTTACCTGAGGAGTGGATGGTTCAGTGCTGCTGTTCACCAGGGCAAACCAGGGCAGTTTGCAGGAGTTGGGAGCGGACGCCTCCCAGGCACCGGGTAGTGGGGCTCTTGGTACACAGGTCCATGTACGGAGCCGCCTGGGAGTGGCATTGAATTTGCTTGATTGTTTTTCCCATGTTTTAAACATCATAAATTTTCAGGTGTCTTGGCCTCATCTAACTCCTGCCACCCATGACACTCGACACTTGGGATTCTCACAAGTCAAAATTTCTTCTGGAGGTCTTGTTTTGTTTCCCTTTGGAGGGCACACGCTTAGCTTGAAGATTTCGGGGGAGCTCCTGCCTATGGCTCAGATTCTCAGGGAAGAGCTTTGTTTTTTATTTATTTACTTTTTATTTTATGTGTATGTGTGTTTTGACTGCGTGTAAGTACACCCATGCATGCAATGCCTGCAGAGACCAGAAGAGGGAGTCAAATCACCTGGAACCGGAGTTAGGAATGGTTGTTGGCCACCATTTGAGTGCTAGGAACTGAACCCTGGTCTTCTGTAGGAGCAGCCAGTGCTCTTAACCATGGAGCCACCTCTCCAGTCCCTCAGGGAAGAGCTTTTGTCCCTTCCCTTCTACCAGATGTGGAATGTCTTGGCCCTCTTTCTATGAAGTGGTTTATTCTTGTTCCTTCAATCCCTCTGAAAGTACTGGCCCTCCATGTGCAGCACAATATGGGCTGGCCCTCCCTCCCTCCCTTCTTTTTTTTTTTTGAGACAGGGACTCATGTAGCCCAGGCTGGCCTCAGACTCACTATGTCTCTAGGATGACTTTGCACTTCTGATCCTCCTGCTTCCACCAAGTGCTAGCTAGTATTAGCCTCTTTCCTTGTCCCAGTCATACTGTCAGTCACCCAGACAGGCTTCAAATCATGCGCTATGTCACCGCAGGGCCTGTCCCTCTCTCCACCCCCAAAATCCAAAAGCAGCTGGGCGTTGCTGAATTATGAATGATTTGATGCCCAAACTTTAAATGTCAAGGTTTTTTAAAAAAATATTTTATTTGTTATTTTTTATTTTATATGTATGAGTGTATTGCCTGCGTGTATGTGAGTGCACCCGTGTTGTGCAATGCCGCAGAGGTCAGAAGAAGGCTTTGGATTCC